TCATGTTTTCTTATGCTTGAGCTAATAAATGGTAAGTCTGAAAGCTCTATCGTATTGCAAAGTGTCTGTTCTATATCTAACCAGGACTCATCTAGTGGGTTATCTTGCAACCATCTTGGTATATATTGCAGCCTGTTGGCTAAGAAATAATAATAAAAGCTGGGTAGATCCAGTCCTCCTCTGTCTTTGGTCTTCTGAAGCGTTTTTAAGCTAATTCGTGGAGGTCTATCCTGCCAAAGGAATTTAGTAATTGAGGAGTCCAGAGATCTAAACCAGTCAGTTGGTGGTTTGTTTGGGATCATCGAGAATAAGTAATTTATTCTGGGTAAGACCATCATTTTAATTGTAGCAACTCTCCCCATGAGTGATATTGGTAAGGATTTCCATCTTGCAAGATCATCTTCCACTTTCCTTAAAAGTGGGATGTAGTTTAGTTTGGTTAGATCTGCTAACTTGGGAGAGATATTAATTCCCAGGTATGTGATATTCCCTGATTCCAATTGTGTATTAAGCAAATTGACAAAAGAGAAATTAATTGGTAGACCTGTGGATTTTAACCAGTTTATAGAGTAATCTGAAACTCTTGAAAAAGAGTTTATCAGTTCTATTGCTTGGGAGAGAGAGGATTGAGAATTCTGGAGAAAGAGTAAAACATCATCTGCACAAAGACTGATCTTATGTTCTATTTTCTTAAACTTTATGCCTTTAGTACCTGTTGTTTGCCTAATTGCTGCTGCTAGTGGTTCTGTAAAGATAGCAAACAGTGAGGGGGAGAGTGGGCATCCCTGCCTGGTCCCCCTCTGAAGACAGAAGCTAGCTGATATTTGGTTCTATTTTGTCTAGTCTTAGCCCTTAAGCTAGCTGCTATTGGAAGGATGATCTCAGCATCAGCCAATCATGAAGAGCTTAAATGAACACCCACCAATGGTGGGCACCCCTTTTGGGTATATAAGTGGAGCGACTCCACTGTTCGCCTCCGTTATCTCTTCAAGCCAAGCTTAAGAACTTTCTTTAAAGAGCAAATTATCGAAGAAACAACATTCAACTCACCAGCCATGTCCAGCGATGCCAGGACCTGCCTGGCCTGCCAGACGGGCTTCATCTCCAGCGGCAACCTGCACGCCAAGTGTGAGGTTTGTCTCGGGGCTCATCACGCTGGCCTGACCTTGACCCCCCAGGCCTAGTGCCCGTTTTGTGCCGCTCTGCCATAGCCCCTTTTCCCTCCTGTACAACACGGAGGTCGACGAGCCTCGTGAGGAGTACAACGAGGCTGGCTGCCATAGCCTCTTTTCCCTCCTGTACATTGCGGAGGTCGACGAGCCTCGCTCAGCGGGTCCTCCTGCCCCAGTAGCTTCTAGCTCCTCCCTGCCAGCAGTTAGAGCACTGCTCCAGGAGCTGCCCGCCATCATCTCCACGGCCGCGGTCCGCAAGGGCTAGCCATTCCAGAACCGGCTCCGCCTGCGGCAGATGATTTGGCAGGAATTTTCGGGTCAACACTGACGCGCTGTCCAGACCCCGTCTGGCCGCGTTTCCCCGCTGCCATGAGCTGCTGGACCGCCGCCTTCTCCGAGCCTGCTAGGCTTAAGGCGCCAATTTCCACATATGCGCCCATTACCAAGGTCGAGGGCTTCTCCGACCTGGGCTGGCCATCCGTTCCTCCACTGGAGCCGGACTTGGCCTCGCTGTGTGGCGCCAAGAACCACCTCGCTGGCCCGTGAGCAGTTCCCGCTTCTAAGCATGACCAGCTGCTTTCGCGGCTGACCGATCATGCACACCAGTGCGCCTTCCAGACCGGCACTGCAGGAAATAACATTGCCCTTTGGCGTTTCCAAAATGGTGGAAGAGCTTGATGTTCCTGACGAGTCAAAAACCATCATTATTAAAACTGCTGGTGCCATTCTCAATCTGTGCGTGGCTATACTCACCGGTTCTGCTCGCATTGCTGCCTGGCAGACCCTTATCCAGCGGGCCTTGTGTCTCAAAGCCCTGCCCTCCATTCCTGATCACCTGCACAGGTAGATGCTGGAAGGCCCCATCACCTCTGACGTTCTGTTTGGTCCCCATCTTACGAGCGTCATCGAGAGGGCTCAGAAGGCGGCTGAACTGTCAGCCACTGTGCGAGACCTGGTCCACCCTCGGTCCGCCTCTCGCTCCGGCCGTTCCTCCAGAGGATGAGACGAACGGCGCGGAATCTTCAGGCGCCCAGCTGCACTGCCCGCCCCACGGAGCCGGCCTCCCGCTTCAGCTCCACCTCAGCGGGACCAGGGAATTGGCGGCCAATGGTTCCAAAAGAGCCAGCAGACACCGTTTTGGCAGTCACAGGTGCAGGAACCTCGCCAAAAACAACCACGAAAACGACTCGTTGGGGGGAATGTGTGTGCTTATGACTGTAATGTTAACTCTGTGAATGATTTTGGTTTTGAAATAAAACCCAAAAAACATCACATTGAGAGAACAAGCCTACAGTCCTCTGCAGAACCCTCTGCCGAATCCTCACACATGTTCCCCACACCAAGCACTGCGACACACCTGCATGTTCCTGCAGTCCGTCATAGTACACGGCCAGCTGTAAGGGTGCGCTCCATTAGCGCACCGGTCCCAGCCTCCGGCCAGGCCCAACTCATCCCGCTTCCCCCACAACGTTGGGTGGGACGGGATGTCAGGGCGCTGTCGCGACCACGCGCGGTGGCACGGTGCGCAGCTCCATCCACTGGCTCTTTGTCGTCCCCGTGCATGGGTCCGGCTCCCACTCCTCCTTCATCCTTGGATTCCACGCTCCGCGGTGCGGATCAGCCTCTTCCAGCTGTTTCACACTCGCCCTTTTGAGCACAGCCCTCCATGGGTTGCTCCCAGTTCTCTGGTGTGAGTGACGGCGGTAAGGGCGCGAACCCAGTCCTCAGACATCGTTCACGTGACCTCGAACACGCGTTCACTGTCGAAACGTGCGCAAGAATGGCGCCGCCTTTGCCTCATGAGCAAATGGATATTGGACACCATTCATTACGGTCACACACTCCATTATCAGTCTGCTCCTCCTCCCTTCAACAGGATCGTGGAGACGACGTTCACGTCACAGGAACAATCTCAGGCCCTGGAGCTGCGGGAACTTCTGTCCAAGGACGCAATTTCCCAAGTCCCTCGCGGACGAGAGCTCTCAGGCTTCTACTCCCGCTACTTCGTAATACCGAAGAAGTCGGGAGGAATGAGACCAATTCTCGACCTTTCCCTGTTCAACTGCTCCATAGCAGTGATGCATTTCCGCATGTTAACAATGAGGCAAGTCCTAGAATACGTGCGCTCCGGGGAGTGATTCACGTCAATAGACCTGAAAAACGCATATTTCCACATCCCGGTAATTCCCAAGCACCGGAAGTTCCTGCGCTTCTCATTCAAGGGAGTTCAATACCAGTTCAATCGTCTCCCTTTCGGCTACTCGCTAGCCCCGCGCACCTTCTCCAAGTGTCTGGAGACAGCGCTGCAGCCACTGTGCACGGCAGGAATGAGGGTTTTATTTTTACCTGGACGATCTGCTCATATGCGCCCGGTCCAAGGACGAGGCGTCAGAGCAAACCAGGAAGTTAATAGAGCATCTGTCAATCCTGGGGTTTTCCATAAACTGGGAGAAGAGCTCCATCCTTCCATCCCAGTCGATTGCGTTTCTCGGGGTGGAGCTGAACGCCTCTCTACTGAGAGCATGTTTGTCTCCGGCGAGAGCGGCAGACTTGGTATATATGTTGTGTGTGTTGGTGCGTGTGTGTGTGTGTGTGTGAGCCAGGATTCTCTGGAGATTTCTTCCTGTTAAAAGGGAGTTTTCCTCTCCACTGTCGCTTTCTGCTTGCTTAGTATGAGGACTGCTGTAAAGACTCTGACACTAGTCAGTGACTTGATGCAATTTGCTGGGTTCCTTATATAGGAAACATTTAACTGATTGGCTCAATGAACTGACCTGTATTGGAATGTTTATTATGTGAAGTTCCTTGAGACGACTCTTGTCGTGATTTGGCGCTTTATAAATAAACTTGAACTGAAATGAAATGACTTGGTGGTCCAGTGGTAAGAGTGTGTAATGTGTGATTATGTCTTCTATTTTTTTCAGTTAAACCATCCGATGCTGACTTCTATAACCTGATGAAGCAAGTTACTCAGGATCACACACGACGTGTCCTCCAGAAAAACCAGAGGTGAATCAGGAACAACAGAACCTTTACATAGTTGGTATTTACTGCAGGTTTGTTCATTTGCATCTGTTTAATATCAATAACTCATCATCTGAGGTCAAGCTGGGATTAGAATTTTTACTTGAAGACAGAACAGGTAATTAAGAGTTATTAATGATAAAATGTCAGAATGAATAACTGCAGATCAGTAACTAAAACAGTTACAGGTCACACTGCTGCCGTTGCATTCATGAGTGGTGGGGTGATGTGGGGATTTGATTTAATTATCCTAGTGATGTCATGTCAGTGGGTTTTTTCTTACCCACGAACTGAATTCGTATCTACAGGCAGAACATTTTCAAAGTCACAAAAATTTGAGTTGTATTCACAAGAATTTTCATTCACAACTTTTAGATTCGTACTCACCTAAAACATTTCTAACCTTCACAAGTATGTTTATTGTTGGGCCCACAAACTAAATTCATGTCACAGCCAGAAAATGTTCACGGAAATTTGAGTTGTATTCACAAGTATTTTCACTCAAAGCTTTTAGATTCATACTTACATTTAAAAAATGCTGAAGTTCACAATTTTCATACTCACAAATATGACAGGAGAATTTTGTGAACAATAATCATTGAAAATAAAATATGAATACAAATTTTAGAATCCTGAACACACCTTTTTGACAGCTATCTTACATGATAGGATTGGCTAGCACACTGCTGAAAACCACTTAACATTCTCACTCTCCTGTTAGCATTTTACTTTCTTTGACACGGAATGTGCCACTACTAGTTTACCTGTTTAGTTAATTATAGAGTCACTAGGATAAAGACAATGTCAAGTCAAGTCAACTTTATTTATAAAACACTTTACAACAGCATAATAGCTGACCAAAGCGCTTAACAAGCCAAAAATAACAGAAGTTCCATAAAATTCTAAAAATAAGATAAAAAGTTCATCACAAAGTAAAAACGTGACAAAAACAAACATATCAAACTGACATAAAAGCTACTAAAACAGATGCATTCCCAAACTGAATTAAAAGCAGCTGAGAACAGATGAGTCTTTAAAAGTGATTTAAAACCCGACGGTGACGAAACCATCCTAATCTGGATCGGGAGTGCGTTCCACAACCTTGGAGCTGCTACTGAGAAAGCTCCGTCACCCCTGAGCTTTCTCTTTGTTCTCGGCACCTCCAGGAGAAACTGGTTGGCTGACCTCAGTGACCGAGACGGGGAGTGAGTAACTAAAAGTTCACACAGATACTGCGGCGCAAGGCCATGTACAGCTCTAAAAGCCAATAAAAGAACCTTGTACTGGACCCTAAAATCCACAGGCAGCCAGTGCAGCAAAGCTAAAATTGGGGTGATGTGCTCCCTCTTTCTCGAACCCGTCAATAGGCGTGCTGCTGCATTTTGCACCATTTGAAGACGGGAGAGGTGAGACTGAGGAAGACCAAGGTACAGTGCGTTGCAATAGTCTAGACGTGATGTAATTAACGCGTGAATCACCGTCTCAAAGTCATGACTTGAGAGCAGACGCTTAACCTTGGCGATCCTCCTTAACTGATAAAAACTGCCTTTGGTGACGGCACTGATTTGCTTTTCCAGAAGCAGGTCACTGTCAAGCCGGACTCCCAGACTGGTTGCTACAGGTTTCAAAAACAGGGCTAGTGGACCAAGGTCAGCAGAACATGGCCCACTGGACACACTAGGACTAAAAAGCATGACCTCAGTCTTGTCATTATTGAAATGTAAAAATTTGCAGACATCCAGGTTTTAACCTCATCTAGGCAGTTTAGAAGAGGATCTAAGGAATTGGGTAGGCCACGTTTAACGGGCATCTACGGGAATGAAATTTATTTTGTTCAGAAATAGAATATCAACACAGAAATTGCAATGTATGCAGCCATAGAAACACTACTTGGTGTGTGTGTGTGTGTGTGTGTGTGTGTGTGTGTGTGTGTGTGTGTGTGTGTGTGTGTGTGTGTGTGTGTGTCTGCTCTGTCTTCTCCATCCCCAGTGAGTCGTGGAGGATGGCTGCTTATACTGAGCCAGGATCCTCTGGAGGTTTCTTCCTGTTAAAAGGGAGTTTTCCTCTCCACTGTCGCTGCATGCTTGCTTAGAATGAGGATTGCTGTAAAGTCTCTGACACTAGTCAGTGACTTGATGCAATTTGCTGGGTTCCTTATATAGAAATTTTTTTACTGACTGGCTTAATGACCAGGGGTCTCATTTATCATAAGCCGGCTTGTTGCAGCATTTCGATCATGACCGTAGATCAAGGCAGATCAAGGAAGCGCTATTTCACGAGCAGAAGTTGAGGTACCTGTGGGTGAGGTGGAGAAATGAAAGGAAGTGCTTTTGCAAAACAAATAAGAGAAAATCCACGGAGTGGCACAGCGTTGCTGAAGCCGTCAATGCTGACTTCTTCAGAGAGATCTGTGGCGGATATAAAAAATGGTCCAATCGGGATTCGATCCCCAGACTCCCGGGTGAAAGTCACGCGCGCTAACCAGTCACCCAAACAGAGATCTCCCCTGTTCAACTAGCCAGGACGCATGATCAACCAGGTCACAGTGACAGGACACACACTGTCACAGACGCATGATGCTCTGTCTCAATCTGTCCCCCTGCTGATATTCTGCGCTTCAGGCTGTGTGTGTGCGCGCGTGCGTGTGAGTGTGCACGCATGTGTGTGTGTGTGTGTGTGTGTGTGTGTGTACAAGTGATAATGCTGCAGGATTTCATAACTGTATCTTCTCAGCAGCAGCACTGCAGGTGCTCTCCATGTCCAACACGTGCATAAGCCAGGTCCTTAGTCAGCTTAAAGCTGGACACATTTTCCCGCTAAGTTTTCTTTCATGAATCCCAAAGTTTGCGTGGAAAGTTGCTTACGCAGTTTTCTGACCCCGTTTTGTGCGTAAGCTAGCTTGATGAACGAGGCCCCTGACCGGTTCTGGAATGTTTGAGATGAGTCTGCCGTGATTTGGTGCTCCATAAATAAAGTGAATTATAAAACAGATTGCAGATATTAGGAAGTCTGTTAAACAGTGAGCATCACAGATCAGTGGTGATAAACTTTCTCCCTACACTCAGATCCTCTGCAGACACTCGCACGCACACATTTTATAAACTTTAATGCTAACATTAATGTCAGTTATCTTGATCCTAAATAATTCAGATTGTATCAGGGACAGCTGAGAGATTCCGACTCTCTGCCTCAGAACCACACATTAGCTTTAGCATTAGCCTGTTTAATGTTCAGATCTGTGCAAACACATCTCACTGCTTCCGGCTGTCCAAGTGGGGCTGATGTTACAGATGTTGGCTTTAAACACACCACTGGGTGGGGTGATTTGTCCATCAGAGGAACTGGTTTGTGTCCTCGCTTCTCCAGAGGACTACTAAGGCTTGAGTGGAGAACCTGGCTTGATGAAGGCATGCCACCACCTCTGCATGGGATTTACCCTCCAGCCTGGTGCCATTTATAGATAAGATGATGTCACCTCTCTGGATGGTGGCATCAGAGCTGGATGCACCTTTGGTGAAGACCCTGTGAACCTGGACACACAAGTACATCTGTTACTACTTTTCTACTCACAGTAGGAGTGATAATAAAAAAGAGCCTTGGCCATTGTGTTAATACGTTTTCTACATTTGTTTAGTTTACGAAGCACGTGCCCTGTTTTTATAACATAAATCGAGTTTCTGGGAAGGTCAGCTGCTCTGTGGGGCTTAGGCCCTCATACATCAAAAACATCTGTCTGCAAATAATTATATAATTGTAAATCAAAAACCTGTTAAAATGCACTAGAATGCAGACAACAGCATATTATCTACTTCATTAGAATTTTTCTGAGGGAGGACCAGCCCAACTGATAGGGAAAAAGTGGTTTTCGTTGACATTACTAATTAAAAATCATAACTGCCTTTTTAAGTAAAACACCTGTTGCTTCATTAAATGCAAGGGTTATCTTGTGCCAGTCCTCCCGTCTCAACAGGGAGGACACCGACCTTCCCCAGATCGTGCTGTTCTGTGTTATCGGTAACACTCCCATGAGAAACAGAATGTTGGCTGAATGCACGTGGGTTTGTGTGAAGGAAATGTGACATTGTTTTTACTCCCTACGTTAAACAGCTTTCCACCTGAATGTCTACGGAGCAGTTTAGGAATGTGACGTGTGTGCGTTGTTTGTGTGTGCTTGGTATCCTAGGAGACGAGCCTGTAACTCTGTAACTCGAGAAGGCCCCGCCTTCTTCATCCTGTCTATCAATAAAGCTTACTGTGGGACAGAGAGGGGCAGAGAAGTATGGCGGAGACCCGGAGGGGCTTGTGCCATGTCTTCCCTCCGCTGTTCTGGCCATACAGTGTAAAACGACCTCCCTACTCTTTGTGTGTGTTCATTTCAGGTTTAAGGGATAAGGAATTTAAAAATAACCCAACACCACCTGCATCTAACCTCAAACACTTGTGGAAGCTCTGTGAATGACATCCGTCTGTAAGCGGATGTCTAATGCTATTGGCTAATGCTGAACGGGAGTTAGTTGAAATTGCATGGATCTCTATGGGACAGGACTAGCAAACGAGGCCCCAGTCCTCTCCTCACCCCTCCATCCAGCTGCTCTCTGTATGAAGGAGAGGAGCTGTGATTACAAGGTGAGCTCAGCCGTGCACCCTCAGTTGAACTTGGTGCCATTCCCGCTGCTCCCCCGCGTTGCTCATCCTATCTCTCTCCCCCACGCTGCCACTAGGGCATTTGTTTCTTGTGTTGGCATTTAGACACACAGTAGTGTGTTTACATGCACACCAGAAAACCAAAGTATTGCCTTTAAAAGACTCACATTTAAAAAAGCAAATGCATATAAACGCGTTAGTCTGGCTAAAAGCGAACTGGTTCTAATCGAGCTGAAGCACCCAGATGACGTGGTAGCAATCTGAATACACTCTGCATGTAAACGCATCAGCCGAGCTAATTCAGGTTGGACACTCGACGAGACCATGGGTTAGGGTTAGGGATCCTCAGAAGCGATCTTCTGACAAGACCATTGCCACAAAGAAACACCGTAACACCATAAAACAGGACAGTAGGTACCCAATAAGCGGTGCTGTGGCATTGTTGTTGTGCATTCCTTCAGCCATTATGCATTTACTGTTATCAATTCCGTCTGCTTCACTCTCGCCAGCCTCTGTTTACTGCTTGTGTTGCTATAAGCTAACCGGAAGAAAAAGGGGCATGTCGCCACCTACTGTACCAGAGTGGAACTAACTTTATTTGAGAAGCCACTTTTCTAATGCACATGTAAACAAGAATAAACACTCCCAGCTTATTACAATGACCTGGATCGACGTAGATGTTGGTCAGTGTGCATGTAACCGTATGAAACCGTACTGACTGAGTGATGCTAATGTGAATAAAGTCTTGTTCCAGGTTCCTGCAGGGCATACTTACAGATATGTTTTTCTGTTCAAGGTCGACACCACCTGAGACACTAAAACCCAGTCCTGAACCTTCTTCTTTATTCAGGACAACAAGGATGGTGTTTAAGGTCTCCTACAGAGATCACAATGAGAAAAACAAACAAACAAACAAACAAATGAATTCCACTGTTGATTGTGATCAGCAGACCTGACTGATTTCTTTGACTCCAAGTGCTAAAAGAGCAATTCGCTCTCAGACTGCAGGTTTACTGGCATTCTATTGTATATTCTAGAATATCTAAGAATATTATGGGAGGCAAATCTTTTAGCTATCAGGCTCCTCTCTTGTGGAACCAGCTCCCAGCTTTAATTTGTGAGGCAGACACCTTGTCTACTTTTAAAGAACAGGCTTAAAACTTTTTTATTTGATAGGGCCTATGGTTAAAATCTGATGTTAGCCTAGATCTGGATGACTTGGAGAGTAGAGGGGGGTGGAGTGTACAGTGGAGAATACAGTCGGTAAAAACGGTTCTCCTTAAGCTGGGCAGACACTGTGCGACCTTTTCACTCGTAGCACTCAGCTTCAGCTCAAACTGTGCGACTTCCTGGCAGGGCAGATCTCATGAGCCATGTGCTCACACTGTACGACCCAGTTCTCGGATGCAACCTGACTGCTCACACTGTACGTCTGGTAGCAACACGTCGGACCTAAAAATATGCTAAAAATAGCAGTTTTTACACAACACATCAGACTTTTTTGTCTTGTTTTGCCTGTTGTCCTTCAGGAGTGCTGCAGGAGGACACACAGGGATTTATGGGGGTTGGATGAGGAAAACGAAATAAAGAAAGTAAATCTGTGTTTTGTGATCAGTTTAATTTAACATGAACAGGACAAACACACTTTCTTGACAATCCTTGTCACTGTGTGTAAAAAAAACGTTTGGAAATAAAAACGAACAGATTATTAGGGAAATAGCGGTTGAGTGGTGTTGATGCATAATTGTGCATGCGCTGTGAGCGGTTCTGGTACTTTTTGGGTTGCAGCCGCTCGCTGCACCGCTTCAACCCTCACGAGGGACGAGCAAAATATCAAACATTCCAGAAGTCCGTGCGAGCTCACGATTGCTGATCGTTAGCTGGTCATGTGGTGTTAATCACCTCTCGTAACCCCTGTACACTACACGACGCTCAGCGCAAAACTCTCCCCGATCTTGTGGATTCTCGCACGAGTGGAAAATCTGCTCAAAAATGTGAAAAAGTCGCACAGTGTCCGCCCGGCTTTAGCCCTACCTACATGTTTCCATCTAAAAGGCTAGGCTATCCAGAGTTATCTATGTAGTTATGCTGCTATTGGGTAACCCTAACTCTAACCACTACACTCTAACTGCATTATTTCCTGCTATTTCAGTTGTTAACTTTATTTGATGCGCATGCCCTGACGGCCGATCACCGGACACAGCAGCGTTTGAAGTTGATGGCAGCTCGTTAGCAAACATCCACAAATAATTTAAATGCATTTTTGCCTAATTTAACTACTGACAACGAAAAAATAATCTGGTAAGTATAACTCACTCAATCTGGAGGTAAGTGAAGGAAATTTAGAAAGTTTGTTAAATTATATTGACGAAGTTTTTGAAGTTTTCGTCATGGGTCTGAAGAAATCAGCAGCTGAGCCTGAAACACCTGCTGGGACCAAGAGGAGCCGTCCTCAGGACTCGCCTGAGGCCTCATCTCCCCGGAAGGACGTATTAGAATTATTAGATTCTATTGATAAACGGCTTCTGGGATTTGAGGGGCGACTTCATCTGCTTGAGGTTCTACACCAGGAGTTTCAGAACCTCCATCAGTCTCTGGAGTTCAGCCAGGAGCAGGTGGAGCGGCTTGCTGCTGAGAACGCGTCTCTGCGGGAGTCCGTTTCTTCCCTGGAAGAGGGAATGACGCGGATCGCCCAGGACAACAAAACTCTGAAGGAGACGGTTTTGGACCTTCAGGCCCGCAGCATGAGGGATAATCTGGTGTTCGCAGGCCTGCCGGAGCAGGCGGGAGGGGCGGAGAACTGCGAGCAAACAATAAAAAACTTTCTCCAGACCCAAATGAAGATACCCGAAGAAACGGTAAAAAACATCACCTTTCACCGGGTACATCGCCTTGGAGCTAGACGAGTGGACAGCAGAAGACCTCGTCCCATCGTGGCTAAATTTGAACATTTTAAGCAGAAGAATCTTAAAAGTCACGGAAGAGAGCTCAAAGGAAAAGACTTCAGCGTTAACGATCGGTTCCCGAAGGAGATTCTGGATCGGCGACGGGTCCTCTTTCTGCTGCGTAAAAAGTTTATCCAGGATGGGAAGAGGGCTGTCATCTCGGTGGATAAGCTTTATGTGGACAATAAACTTTACAAGGAGCGAGGAGTGACTGACTGGCTGTATTAGCCCAACATCAGGTCAGACATTTATTATTCTTATCAGGATTCACTGGGTTTGATCACGTCAGGATTAAACAGCTGCTAAATCCGTTCTCTAGATGATGAGATCACCTGTTCCTCACCACTTCACACCCCTATCACCCTTTCTTTTTTGTTCTTTCTTCTTTTTTAACCTGTATCTGTATTTTCATTTCCTCTTTACCTGCTTCTGTACCTTTACACCTGTACGGCACAACCACACAACTTTCCAAGACTGCGGCAGACTCGACACACACACACACACACACACACACACACACACACACACACACACACACACACACACACACACACACACACACACACACACACACACACACACACACACACACACACACTCACACACACACACACACACAGACACACACACACACACACACACACACACACACGCACGCACGCACGCACACACACACACACAGAAATATTAAATTCACAGCACAATATCATAATTTATGCATCAAATAATACAACCACAAACACTGTTGGATCTTTATTATTAGTATTATTATTATTATTTACTTTTCTGTTATTTATTAACATTCTATTTTATACATTTAGATACTTATTCCATCTTATACACATGAAGGTGTCATGTTTTAGCTACTCACACACACATCTATGGGTGCACTAAGGTTTGTCTCATGGAACGTACATGGAGCTGGCTCCATAGAGAAAAGATTAAAGATTTTTGATCAGCTAAAGAGAGTGCAAGCAGATGTAATATTATTACAAGAGACTCATAGATCTGCCACATCCGCAGATGAACTTAAGACACCTGAGTTTCCCAGCATGTTCTCTGCCTGCTATAAATCTGGGCAAAGAGGTGTAGCTATTTTAATACACAAAAACATCAATTTCACAGTATTGGACACAGTTTCTGATCCAGAGGGTAGATTTATAATGTTAAAAATATCTGTACAGAACCAAAGCTTATGTATTGTCAGCATATCCTGTCCAAATATTGATGACCCTTCATTCTTTCATAATTTTTTCTCTGTACTCTCCGAACACTTGGACTGTCCACTTATACTTGGAGGTGATTTTAATTTTTGGATGAATTCCTTAACAGACAGGCTCAGTACAGCTGGGACTCAGCGAAATTGGCAATGCACTAACATAGTTAAACAGTACATGAGTGATTATGGGCTTTGTGATGCATGGCGATCTCTTCATCCTAACCGTAGAGAGTATACTTTTTTCTCACACGTCCATCACTCTCACTCACGTTTGGATTATTTTCTAGTCAGCAGCTCATTGTTGGCTGACATTTCAGACACTGAGATACACCCCATAGTTGTCAGCGACCATGCTCCGGTTTCTTTAACTCTGGTAAATAAGAAGACAATCCCACCGAGCAAAAACTGGAGGTTTAATACATCACTGCTCAAAGACGAAGGTTTTATAGACTTTTTTTAAAAGGAGTGGGCTTTATATTTAGAACATAATGACCTGCCTGGAACATCAGCATCTATTCTGTGTTTAACGTGGCCAAGCCCATACTTTTGAGAGCACCATGTGAGCACCTGTGTGTGTACACGCGCTTGTATATATAAGGTTTCTCTATAGGAGCGTCCAAAAGAGAGTGTGAGGGACCACAGATCCGCCCCCCAAAGATACGCAGGAGATGGGGGGAGCTCCAAGTCCCAGAGATCCAGGTGCTGCCCCAGAACACAGGAACCCCAAGGAGACTGCAACCAGAAAGGCCCCCGCCCCCCTCGAGAGGCACAGAGGATCGCCCCGGGGGGCCACAACCAGCAGCCGACAGAGTCCCGGGAGACATCAGCGGCAAGCCCACAGGCCCACCCACAGCCTCCCACCCCCTAGCCGGCCGAGCCTGGGACCCAGCGACCCAGGACCCAGGGGCGACCACCCCCGCCGGGGACCCAGCAGAGCCCAGGGACCCAGACCCCACCAGGCAGCCACCGGGATCTATCAGGCAGATGCCAAAATCTTAAACCCCCTGACCCGGTTGCCACGAACACTCAGGCAGACCATGGCACAACCCCTCACACCAGGTGTGGCAGGGGGAGGGGGGACAAAGATCTATATCATCAAGAGAAGTTCCAGGAGAGGGGAGGAGTCAAAGGCCCCACCTGACATATACAGTCATACACAAACACAGTCACACACTCCCTCCCTCATGCTCACACATGCACATACAACCCAAGACTTACAAAAATGCACGCCGGACACCCACTCATGCTCCCCATACACACCCTATTCACTCTGGTCCCGGTACTGCTGCACATGGGGTACAACCATCACCGGTAACCAGAGTTTGACCCTTTCTGCTAGGGTGCTGATGAGCAGGCTCCCCCGCCCAACGCTCAGCACAGCAACCCACCACCCCAGACCCCAACCAGACGGCCAGATCTCCCTCCTAGCATCCAGCCCCAGGAAGCCAAGCAACAACAGAGGTGGCAAAGACCCCTAGTCTCCCTCCGCCTGCTCCAATATAGTGTTGTGTGTTGATGAGGTGTAATCCATGGCTGTGGTGAGCGGGCAGTGCGGGCATCATCCGGCCTATGCCAGCTGAATTCATTTGGAGTCAGGAAGGACATTTTACTGACTTTCTATTATTCTTTTATAGAGAGTGTTATCACATTTTCCATCCCCTGTTGGTTTTATTCTGTCAGCCTGCAGTATAGAAGCCGTCTACAAAGCACCGTCAAGGTGTGCTCTCGGATCATTGGACTACCACTGCGAAACTTAACTTCTCAATGTGACCAGCATACAGGAAGTTTAGCACAGAAAATCATTAAAGACCCATCACACCCTCTTCATACTGTTTTCGAGTGGCTGCCCTCCAAACGCCGACTTCGATGCCCATGCTGTAAAACACAGAAGAGGAGAAGTTCCTTTGTTCCCAGAGCTGTGCTTCTTCTTAATTCTCAGTGCAGATAGGGAGAGTGTGCATTACTTGAATGTGTGTGTGCATGTAGTTACGTGTGTGTGTGTGTGTGTGTGTGTGTGTGTGTGTGTGTGTGTGTGTGTGTGTGTGTGAGCCAAAGTTTTACTCATTGTTGGTCATTCACATGTGAGGATATGACATGAATGTGTATATAGGCTTTATGGGTTTTACAAATGTGTAATTTGGATGTGTTTTTGGAATTTAGAGATTTTAGTGCCGGCTGCTTCACAATGCTGTCTCGAATTGCCCCTCGGGGACTAATAAAGTTGTCTTGTCTTGATGCCACAGCACCACCCCACTTACACCCTCAGCCCTCGGTGTCTAAGTGCGGTTTAAAATTGGAAGTGGGCACCGGCGCCCGGGAGGAGGCTGAAATATCCCCCTGCCAAATGCCGTTGAATGTGCTCACTCCCAAGGCCCTAAGTGTGTGTTTGTGTGGAATGTCATCAGTGGAAGCGTATAAGGTGCAAATAAAATTGGGGGGCAGGTTGCCACAGGAATACGGAAATGGGGTCCATACCCACACTCCCTGACTTGCCCACCCCCCAAGGTCCTATGTGTATGTTTGTGTGATGATCTGATGGAGCAGGAGGATAGAAATATGCGGGGATGGGGAGGAATGGCTGGTGGGGCTTAGAATATCTATGCTCATCCCTGCATTTGCACAACTTCCAGAATATATAAAACATGGGACATCCAGGTAAGGTTGGGTCCTCCCCCTCCTGGACCTCCCCCTCCCCTGTGATGGAACGGCAGAGGAGCCAAGGTCTACCTGAGGCCCCCGAACCCAGGCCAGGCACTGCTGCGTGTTCCTGCCTTCTTCCCGACAGCATACATGTCAGGACCCAACCCCCAAGGCCCCGCCCAGATCCCCACACGGGGCCGGCCACCCCCAAACCCAGAGCCCCCAGGCCCCCACCCAGACCCGCCCAGGGGCAATGCAGCTGCCAGGCAGTGACCCATGGCTGCCGCCAAGATCCCCAAGGGGCCCCACTCACAACCGCCAGTAGTCCACCCCCCGAGGCAACCCAAGCACCTCCAGAGGGGGGCAACGGCCCCCCAGTCCCAGACACCCCCAGTGAACCCACCTCCAGGGAACATCTGGATACTCCAAACTCAGACACCCCCCCCCCCCCCCCCCCCCTCACACACACACACCATCCCGCAGGACAACATCAACGGCCCCCCACCCTCGCTATGTGATGGAACCGATCAAAGGAGCCCAGAGAGATTGATCTGAAGTGGAAGCAGAGGCTAGATCAAGTATAATATGATCTAACAAAAGATTTCTATACTGGTTAATGCAGAGACTTTCTCTATTTTTCCAATTCAAGAGGATAGTTTTCTTAGCGATGCATATGGCAGTCATTTTAAGATACTCCCACCATGCTGTCAGAGAGGTGCTGATACTAATACTTTTGAAGCCTTCATGTTTCCTTAAGCTTGAGCTAATAAATGGTAAGTCTGAAAGCTCTATCGTATTGCAAAGTGTCTGTTCTATATCTAACCAGGACTCATCTAGTGGGTTATCTTGCAACCATCTTGGTATATATTGCAGCCTGTTGGCTAAGAAATAATAATAAAAGTTGGGTAGATCCAGTCCTCCTCTGTCTTTGGTCTTCTGAAGTGTTTTTAAGCTAATTCGTGGAGGTTTATCCTGCCAAAGGAATTTAGTAATTGAGGAGTCCAGAGATTTAAACCAGTCAGCTGGTGGTTTGTTTGGGATCATCGAGAATAAGTAATTTATTCTGGGTAAGACCATCATTTTAATTGTAGCCACTCTCCCCATGAGTGATATTGGTAAGGATTTCCATCTTGCAAGATCATCTGGTGCCTATCTCCAGCGGTCAACGGGCAGTCAGGTGGGGTACACCCTGGACAAAGAGCCAGTCCATCGCAGGGCAACACAGAGACACACAGGACAAACAATCACACACACACACACACACACACACACACACACACACACACACACACACACACACACACACACACACACACACACACACACACACACACACACACACACACACACACCTATGGAACAATTTAGACAGACCAGTCAACCTAACAGTCATGTTTTTGGACTGTGGGAGGAAGTACCCGGAGAGAACCCACACATGCACAGGGAGAACATGCTAACTCCATGCAGAAAGATCCCGGGCCGGGAATCGAACCCAGGACCTTCTTACTGCAAGGCAACAGCTCCAACCACTGCGCAGCCATCACACTAGTTGTTTATACTTATCTCCATTCTGTGTCTTTTTGTATGATTGTTTAAAAGAAAAGTTAGAAAAATGACATGCTTTAGTTTCTAGCCCACAGACGGTCCAGGAACATTTTTACATACAGTTTATGTCTTTCGGGACTTTGTTAACCCCAAAGGGGAGAATGTAGTGTCTGCTTGTCAGCTTTAAACAATTCATCTGTACATAAAAATATCATGCAATATTGTAAAATGTTGTAATAACTGCAGCATAAAAATAATGTGTTTCTTATTCATTTGGAGCCTCGAAGGAGAAATCCCACCAGAGAGGCTGCGGCGAGGCAGCTGGAGCTGTTGTCAAGAAATTACAAAGGCGACTCTGTGGAGACTCCATCTTCCTACAATAACATTTTGCAGGTTGCTGCAGCAGGTTTAGGAATGTGCCTTCACCAAATGACGACTTTTTAGGAATGCTGTTGTAGAGTTATATGCAGAAAGGCAGAACCACTTTAGGGCTGCATGGCTCTTCACCGTTGCACCGATGCTTGTATTTACCTGGACTAGATTGTAATAAACCTGTTATCATTTTTAACTTAAACTTTGTCACCACTGATTCACACCACTCCAAGATACAGGATCAGCTCAGTAAGAAAATTAACCACACTTACTTTCTTTCTTTCTATATATTTATGCCCTTAAAATTGAAGAGAGGCTTCGGTATTGTGACCTCACCTGTGAGATCTTGGTCTCATCAAGCAGACTTGACACATAGGATCTGGAGTTCTGGGAGGACAGCAGCGTCTGCAGCTTCTGCTGACTCATGGGACAGGAAACCAAATTCTTCAGTCTGCAAAAAAACATGAATCAAACAGACCAGAGTGTTACTGTAAAAGACCACACGGCTGTGCTTCCACATTCCTGCCCGGCCCAAAAACCAATCCCTCACCTGGATGAAACTAAGCAAACAGGTAGGAGCCTCCTATTGGAGAATTACTGCAGGGCGATGATCTTTCTGCTGCAACAACTTATTTAACCCAACTGATGCAACGAGCTGCTTCTCATTTCTTAAACAACCACGTGAAAAGAAACAACTTTTGGTCGTGGAAAAGATGTTAGTCTGTGTGAGAAGGGTCCGGTCACTGGCATGCACCAAGCACAGCAAACATCTAAGGAGATGCAGAAATGACTAAAACTGGGTTCAGAACTGTCCAACAATTTATTAGAAACTGCTCTGATGAGTCCAGATGGACCCTGGTCCAGAGTGATGGTGCATCAGGGTAAGAAGAGAGGCAGGTGAAGTGATGCACCCATCATGCCCAGTGCCTACTGTACAAGCCTGTGGGGGCAGTGCTATGATCTGGGCTTGCTGCAGGTGGTCAGGTCCAGGTTCAGCAACAGGATGTGCTCCAAGAATGAGGTCAGCTGACTACCTGAATATCCTGAATGACCAGGTTATTCCATCTTCCCTGATGGCACGGCCATATTCCAAGATGACAATGCCAGGATTCATCGGGCTCAAACAGTGAAAGAGCGGTTCAGGGAGCATGAGACGCCATTTTCACACATGGATCGGCCACCACAGATTCCAGATCTTAACCTCATTGAGAACCTTTGGGATGCGCTGGAGAAGACTTTGTGCAGCAGTCAGACTCTACCACACTGTAAAAAGCTACTTGAAGAACCTACCCAGTACAACTGAGGTAACAAACTGCACCCGTTCTGCTTAGGTAATTTATACCCCATATAGGGAGCTTAAGTCTCCTCATCTTCTGGTCGTCTCACGAGTCCCCGGAAGAACCAAAAAAACGAATGCAAGTCAATGGGGTTAAAAACGCTGTTTGTTTCATACCATGGATTTCACATATGATGTCCGTGAACTTCAAAGACATATTTAGATACCAAGAAAACGCTTATTTTCCAACGGGGGTAAATGCTATTTTAGGTTTTGTGTGACAATTGGTTCAGGACTACAAAAGTGCTTCATGAAAGTGACGTCATCAAACCAGGCACGGAGAAAAACAGGGAAAAGTTGAGCAAACTTCAATCCTTCCTTCAGGAGGAAAAAACCACCATAAGTCTGGCCATTTGGTAAGTAGCAGCTACAGGGCTGCCAACTTCAGAGCGGTGGGTGGGGAGAAATGTCACGCCCCTGGGGGGGTGCGGACTGTGGATTAATCAGCGTGAGATATTGGAGGATTGGAGTGAAAAGGGTCAAATGCGTGTGTCTCACTCTCAATGCGTGAGAGTTGGCAGCTCTGCAACTACAACTGTGTTGTACCTCAATTGAAAATTACCACATGGCCAGATTTATGGTGCTTCTTTCCTCCTGAAGGAAGGACTTGCAGTTTGCTGAACTTACAGCCATGTTTCCTCTGTTCTTCTCTGTGTCTGGTGGGATGACGTCACTTTGGCAATGCACATTTGTAGTCCTGGACTTGTTTTCACACAAAACCTAAAATAATGTTTCCCCCAACTCAAAAATAAGAGTTTTCTTGGTATTAAAAAGCTTCTTTAAAATTCACGGACATCATATGTGAAATCCGTGGCACATGACAAACGGAATTAGAAAATAGCGTTTTTAGCCCCGTTGACTTGCGTTCATGTTTTCTTTCTTCTGGGGACCCCTTGCTCCGAAAGTAGATGGGCGTGGCCTAGGCTCCCTCTAACAGCACAGAACTGTTAACAGATACTCCGGCCAACATGTACAATTGTTCTTTTTGTTCATTAAATAAAATAGATAATCTGGCAGAGTTTAGGATTTTTAGGTAAATTCTACTCATTACAATTGGGTTCTATTTGTTAATGAAATAAAATAGGTAGAATTAACAAATTTTTCTTAATTTTATTCATTAACTAATGTATTTTGTCCCATTTTAGATTATTTTATTGGGTAATATATAATATTCCCCCCCAAAAAATCTGTTTTCTCAGTGCATCATCAATGCAAGATCTTGGTGAAGCATTAAAGCAAAACTGGATATAAAAACGTCTTAAGAAGCTTATCGAAACGCCAAAGCAAATGTGTGACCTGTGTGTGACATTTCTTGTTTTGTGGTGGCAACTTGGTTTTGAGCTGGGTAGTATGTCATCTAAAAACATAGAGGTTTGTTTTTAAAGAGAGTCATCAGCCTGAGATCAGATCAGAACCAATACCAACAGCTTCTCTAAACAAATCTGAGATTTCAGTTTTACTCCAGTTAATTTAACACTAACTGGCAGACCAATCCTTTGGTGCAGAGTTTTGGCCCCTAAATCCGATCAATGCAGGTACTGAACGCAACTGGTGCAAAAATGGGAAAACCAAAAATATTCTAAGATATGGAGCAGTTTCAATGGAAAATTAAACTATTAGAATATATTATTATTATGATTGTTGTTATTATTATTATTATTTTTGTTGTTGTTGTTATTCTCATCATCATCATTATTATCATTGTTATTATTATTATTATTCTCGTATAATCCTTACAGTTCAAAATGAAAAAATGCAGGCAATTTACATACTTAGTTGTTTTTGTTATTTTTTGGGGTGGAAGCTAAAGGGTTAGAGTGTTAGTAATTGTTATTAGCTAATAGCCCTTTAAAATTAGCTTTGGTATTAGCTAAATAATTACATGCTGTTATTAACTTTGTTGTCAGCTAGTGTTTAACATAACTGGTAACAAGGCTAATAAGGTAATTTTAGTATCTTTGTAAAGCTCCAGACAGAAAGGCTGCAGCCAGCGTCTGAACCCACAACCCTACCAAAGAAATCTTAGAGATAATGTGGTGATCTCCTGACCTGATGGACCAGCCAGGTGGTTTGGTGTCTCCCTGCTGAGCAGCAGCAGCTGCAGCACCAGTTGGGACTGCAGATGAAGACGACGCGTAGTGAATGCTCACATCTGCTTTAGTTACAGCTGTCTCACACCCTCTGAAGTCATCTGGGCACAGTCTTTCTAAGTCAGGCATGCTGAGAGCTCTCAGCTGCTGCATCCTTCTAGAGGGAAGTCTGCCACGTTTCCTGTGCTGCAGCAGCCGTGTCTGCTGTGAGGTACCATCCAGGCAGGTAGGATCCTCGCCCTGCCCGTGTTCACCAAGGAGATGTGAGGTGGATGGAGCGGAGCTGGTGCTGGCTTCTTGGCCCTTGCTGTCAGCAGAAATCCTTTTGAGTGGGGCGGAGTATGTCAGAGCAAACAAAAGAACATCACTGCTTCTAGCTGAAGGGTTGTCAACATTAGCCAGGCTTTCAAAGGATTTGATTTTGTGTTGAACAGAAAAGGGTTTGCAGTCTGCAGACAGGCCGTTGTCTGTGAACAAGCTTCGCCTTTTCATGCTCTGCCTGGATGTGCTGGGCCTGAAAGCCCCCCCTATCTCCACGGCACTTCTAGATTTGGATCCATTCGTTTTTCTTGTGTGAGCATTTTTAGTGGAGTGTAGTCGGTCACTGAGCATGGCATCGTCCGCAGAGACGGGAGAAGGTTGGGATGGGAATCTTTGATCCATTTTGATTTGAAAGTCTTTAGAAGTCACCTCATCTCTACACTTGAAAGCTGGTGATAAGAAACCAGATGAGGACAATCGAAGTTCTATGAACGTTCTCCGTGTTTGGGTCTGGGATTTGGAACGTAAGTTGACGTTCTTTTCCAAAGCCAGCTGCTCACTCTGTAAGACACCACCCGAATGTCCACGCTCACCTGGGATTTGTCTTCCGTCATCTTCAGAGCTCTTCATGTCCTCCTGGTTAGTGGCATTTATAAGGCGGGACATGGTTGCCATTGGAGGCATTAGACTCGTAAACTGTTTCAGAGCCACATTTGTGTCAGAAGACACGGGGTTCTGACTCAAGGCTAGTTTCTGTTCAGGCTTCCACTGGACTTTACTTTTAATGCTCAGAACAGTTCGTTTTGGTGGACAACTTTCAGTTTGAAGTCTAAACGTACTGTTCTCTACACTACAGTTGGACTGCCTGGGAGGTTTTAGGCTCGAATTGTTCTTCACAGAGAGATCGGAGCTAAACTGATCTTTAGGCTGTTGGTTCTGTTCTGACGTTGAAACTCTTTTGTCTGACCCGCAGCTCGACTCTGAAGTCCGGGAATACACAGAAAGGGTTTGTGTACTCAGATGTTTAAATAAACGTTGGGTTCCATCTGCAGGCATATTTGCAGCAGCACCCTGAGAGATGCTGGTGTCTGCTTGAGAGGGGCTCCTGTAAATGCTTAAGCTTTTATGGCTGGATGACAGGACGGTATTTACTTTGGCCCCATTAATGAGGCCCTCTTCAGCAGATTCAGGTCCTGTCCTGTTGTACAGCTCCAGCAGGGGCAAAGAAGTGGAGACCTTATTAACTTTGTGTCTGACGTGCTGGAGAGGAGGAGGAGGCTCCTGGGGCAGCTGGTTTAAACAAGATGGTTTGTGAAGCTCCACCTCCTGTCCATAAGAGTCACACAGACTCCCATCAGTCATCATATCAGCAATCAGACTCTTCTCAGTGGTAAAGCCGTCAGAACTTTCAGGACTTGTTACACTTCCTGGATCTGACTCTGAGCTGTTCTGCAGGCAGGAACCAGAGTCCTCAGTCTGTTGGCTAAAACAGGACAGCGTCCCAACAGGAGACGTGATGCTGGTGTCTTCATCACTAGTGATGCTTGCTTCTAATAGACAGCTGTGTGCTACTTTCACAAATGTTGGGTCATCTTCTTCAGATGTTTGGGTTGATCTGATGTCTCCATCGCTGCTCCCTGGTGACATCATTACACCTGAAAGCTGATCTACAGCAAGGAACAGAATCAAAAAGCAAATTATTTAGTTGAACTCAAAAATAGTTGAAGAACATCTGAATTCATTTCAGATGTTTTTTTCTAGTCTTTGAGCAAAGCAAGTTTAAAATCCTGTAAAATCACACATCAGAGAAAAGAAGCAGCAAACACATCTACGCTGTCCTAAGGGAGTCTGTTGTTGGTGTGAACACAGAAAGACAAGGGCCCTCATTTCTCAACCAGTTTGTCAATAATAAGATGTGACAGATCTGTGAAATCAAAATATTAATTACTTCATTATAATCCTGTAGAATATAAAGGTAGTATGACTTTAAATGTTCCACTACGACTGATCTCACGTAGCGTTAAAAAGACATGACACATTGTTTCACTGATCCAATCAGAATCTGCCAGATCTGACGGAGGCGTGGTTTTGATGGTGTTTGGTAAAACATGTCAACTTTTCATTTGACCATAAACCAAAACATCCGAAGTATAAAACTGTGCCCACGTCATCTCTAACGCCAGTTCAAAGCGTTCTAGAGAAGTTGTCGGAGCGGCCAATCCGTAACTTTCCTCTTCAACCAAAAGAACAACGACAAGCTGGATAAAATCTGTGTCTGTTCCAACTGCTGTGACAGTTCCTTTCAGAATAAAAGCTGAACCATTACGACCCAGGTTTGGGTCTCACCAGACGCCAACAAAATTGTCGTGACCCGGAAGTATCTCACAGACTGGTCTGGTCAGCAACCGCTGCTTTTCCTACCGGCTGCGGTTCCAGAAAAGGTAAAGCTGGACCTCGACATTCCTTTTTTTTGTCTGAATGCTGGTAACAAGCCTTACAGATTTACTCTCAGGTGGAGCATCAAAGCGTCTGCTTTAATGTCACGCCTGATACTTAAAACTGTATTGTTGTTGTTTTTGAATGCTTTGTAATTCCGACCAGACACGGAGACAGAGGTGAAAGAGAAAGGAAAAGACAAATGGTGGGAAGAGGGGGGGGGGGTCCACAAAAATAAACAATAATGAACAAGAGTCTGCTTCTAGACCTGCAGAAAGAGAAGAGCAGAAAAAAATGGGACACACAACAATACATCAGGAGCAAGCTATCACTGAATCAACGTGATGATGAAATATAAAATCAACATTGTTTAACTGAACAATCACACGATAATAAATCATAATCACAATAGATTTTAAGATCCTTCTTCTCACATATAAAGCTCTTAATAATCAAGGTCCATCATACATCAGTGATCTGATTGTTCCATATGTTCCAAACCGAGCACTTCGCTCTCAGACTGCAGGTCTACTGGTGGTTCCCAGAATATCTAAAATTAGGATGGGGGGCAGATCTTTTAGTTATCAGGCTCCTCTCCTGTGGAACCAGCTCCCAGCTTTAGTCCGTGAGGCAGACACTTTGTCTACTTTTAAGACTAGGCTTAAAACATTTTTATTTGATAGGGCCTATGGTTAAAATCTGATGTTAGCCTAAATCTGGACAAGTGGGGGAGTAGAGGGAGGTGGAGTGTACAGTCGGTAAAGACGGCTCTCCCTTGCCCTGCCTCCAACATGCCTCCATCTAAATAGGATAGATTATCCAGAGTTATCTCTGTAGTTATGCTGCTATAGACTTAGACTGCTGGAGGACACACTGACCACTTTTCACACTCTACTGCTTTCTTCTACAGTCTGCTCTTTAACTGTATTATTTCCTGCTATTTCAGCTGTTAACTTGATTTTCTCTCTAAGTGTTTTTCTCCCCAGAAGAAGCTACAATGTTCTGCTGGGCTATGGTGGCCTCATGGAGGGGGCGATCGTATGGAACTAGGATTGGGACAATATTCAGCGTAACTTGTACCAAGTTTTATAACTTCAAACACGTTTCATCACATGTAACTTTGGATTTGTAACATGTAACTTTAGTTTTCTAACTTGTAATTCTCAATTCGTACTTGTATTTCTTGTTTTGTAACAGGAACGTTGTATTTTGTACATGTATTTTTTATTTTGTAAAATCAAACTTTTATTTTGTACATTTACTCATTTTGTAACATCAAACATTCATTCAGAAACATGAAACTTTCGTTTTGTAACTAGCAGACTTCCAAATTGAAAAACTCTACGTACAAGTTTGAAATCAAAACTCTCAAAACACACATTTCATTCTACAGTTACAAACCTCAAATCTACAGTGTTACAGATCTTTTTGTTTCTCGATTCTAGCGTCAGTGGGAGGAACTTGGGTGGAACCAATGAGAGCACCAGTCTTGGCTACCAATCACGTTTCTCAAATTCCTGTCGAATCATTGGGAGAGGAGGGCAGGGTTCTGTCAGAGCTGTAGAAAGTTACGACACTCCTATAGAGCTCCGGACCCCACGTGACTCTCAGTTAGTAGATGCCATTTTGGCAGGAAAAAAAAGGTAAACAAACACGGATGTAACCATGAACGTGAACGGGATCTGCTTGGATTTTACTTCGTTGTAGTTTACTTCACACTTTAAAACCAAAGAAATCGTTTTATATAGTCAGAAATTAAATAGACTAAACATCTCCGACCCGTACCGTGCCCCTGGGATACTTTTTAAAAACGCCAGAAGCTGTCGGAGCGGACTTCTTACCGGACCTGGCCGGGGAACCCCTTGGGATTTACCCGGAGGAGCTGGCTCCGGCGGCTGGGGAGAGGGAAGTCAGGGCCTCTCGACTACTGCCCCCGCAACCCGACTCCGGGTAAGCGGATGAAAATGGATGGATGGATGGGCAAATAACAGATTTACACGTAAGTAGTTTAAATAGAGTGCTGTGCTGTTTGAATGTATAAACTGAACGCCAAGAGAAATCACTAGTCTGATTTGTTTCCGTGAATAAAATAAAAATGTCAGGCAGGAGCGTCTCAGGATCTGTCTGAGATCTGTCTCGGTGAGACAGATAATAGCAATCCAAAGTGCTTTTTATGTGTGATCTGACAACTGATCAACCACTGCTTAAAAATTAAATACAGCTTAACCGGTTAATTGCTGTGATCATAAAACACGTAAACGGCAGCACGCAGAACTCACGAGGCAACGTTTTACGTGACGTTTACTTGTTGCTATGAGTAATAAGACAGAAAAAGCCACGCCAAAATAAGTTTAGGAAGCCCACTAAGAATCGTAATAAAAGCATTTAAAATAAATACCATACACAGTTGAGGAAACGTTGGTTTAAGTACCTGATATGAAGCGGTCGCTGCATAAGTGAAAACCTTTACTCTCGGGATCCCACAGCTTCATTTCAGCCCGGTCACTAGCGCGTTTTATTACAATGATCCAACGTTTGCGGCGCTCCGGATCTTGGGGAATCCTGTAGATGGCTCATTCCTTATGTCGTCCGCGTCTGTTCTGCATCTTGGGACACAACAGGAATCTACCGTATTTCCTGTTTGATTGAGTTTTCTGACAATAACAAATAGTCCAGCTGCCGGTTTCTGCCTGCCAAATGGCGCCGTTTCGATTTGAACTGCTGCATGCCGGGAAAAGTGACGTCAACTCCCGGAGCTCTATACACCCCTATGGAATGGGGAAGTCACGTGGTTCATGTAGCTTTGAATAGTTCCAAACTGCTGCATTGACCGCAGTTCATTTTGGGTGTTTCGGAAGGATTTTCTCCGGTAAGTTGATGAAATGTCATCATTTTGTTGCATTGTGAAGCGTTAGCGAACCGCTTCGTACCAAAATAAGCCAACGGCGATATTTTATGTCCCCAGTTTTAGCTAGATAACCTTTAATGAGCTAACTGTGTGCAGGTAAATGTAACGGATGCTGAGTCGCGTCCTTCAGTCTTTGAAATGAGGAAAAAACAAACCCGCAAAATAGCTGAAATTAGCTTATCGATACAGTATCAGCTACGCAGTAAATGGACATGATGGAAGCCCATTAGCTGCAGGTTATAGCTCAGTAAGAACAGGTATGTTGTTACAGTTGTCTGAAAGTTTATTTGCTTCAGGCGTGTCGGGGGTTGTGAGCAGGAGGACGAGCTGTAGACGGGTTTCTTTCAGTTTGTTTGATTCTACGTTTTAAAAATATTCCCCCCAGTTTGAAACAGGCTATAAACTTTTTACATTATTAGTTTTATTTGGGATTTTTTGTACAATACGTTGCTGTATCAACACGAACATGCATCAGAAATGGAAGCACAAGTGGAGAGACCAATAATAAAGAAAATGTGATTGTGAAGACAAGTAATTATTTAATATTTTTCAGTTAATAACACTGACTACAGCGAACTGCTGAAGCATGAGACAAACAGGATTACGAACGTAAGAAGATATGTTGTTCTGTTTTGTGGACTCAAGTAATAAGAATAGAATTAAGATAATTCAAGAATAGTAGTGGAACAATAACTTTTAAAAATGAGACATTTTCCATAAAACTGCTCATTTCCACTTGCTTTATAATATCAGCATTTGCAATTTTGTTATTAAGGAATGACAAGAAATAAGAATTAACAATAACACAATTATCAATAAATAAATGTCAAAGAGTGACTAAAACAAAGATCTTATGTAAGCATTAAAGGTTAAACTGTGTCATGTGTCCATCTTCATGTTTTCATAGTGGCTGAGCGGAGAGCTGACCAGGAACAACGGTGGTGGCAAATCCCAGTTGGGTCTGTGATGGAGTGATGCACGTCTGGAGTGATTGCCATCTCATCCACAGTGAGCACACACTCTCTTTCCATCTCTGTCAGGTTTTTAACCTTCAAACTGAGCATGTCACACACCTCTCCTAACACACCTGGTTCCAGTTTAACGGGCTGCATTTGTCTGTGCAGGTTCTAACATCAGGCAGAGGGACACTCGTGTCCTGAAGAAACCTGCAGCCTGTTGAACCCACTGAAAAACAGAGCTGTACGGCCTTTTTGACGTTCTGTTTCCTCCCTTAGGTTTTCCAGCTGGGTTCCCTGGTTGCATGGCCTGTTCCTTTCTCCTCCTGGCCCTGACGCCGGCTCCTCATGGCTTCCTGGGATGTCCCTCTCTCCTGATACCATCTCATGCCCCCTCTCACTTTCCTCATCTCATTTGCCTCACTGCTGCTGCTGCTTTCCTCATTATCTAAAATTATAATGGCACTGTTAGAATAAAGAATCATTTTAAAATAAAATAAATTCAAATGTCTAATATTTCAAAAGATTGGTACCACAGTTTACTTGAGTACAACGCAGTGGGGCAAAAAAGTATTTAGTCAGCCACCGATTGTGCAAGTTCTCCCACTTAAAATGATGACAGAGGTCAGTAATTTACATCATAGGTACACTTCAACAGTGAGAGACAGAATGTGAAAAAAAAATCCATGAATTCACATGGCAGGATTTTTAAAGAATTTATTTGTAAATCAGGGTGGAAAATAAGTATTTGGTCAATAACAAAAATTCAACTCAATACTTTGTAACATAACCTTTGTTGGCAATAACAGAGGTCAAACGATTACTATAGGTCTTTACCAGGTTTGCACACACAGTAGCTGGTATTTTGGCCCATTCCTCCATGCAGATCTTCTCGAGAGCAGTGATGTTTTGGGGCTGTCGCCGAGCAACACGGACTTTCAACTCCCTCCACAGATTTTCTATGGGGTTGAGGTCTGGAGACTGGCTAGGCCACTCCAGGACTTTCAAATGCTTCTTACGGAGCCACTCCTTTGTTGTCCGGGCGGTGTGTTTGGGATCATTGTCGTGTTGGAAGACCCAGCCACGTTTCATCTTCAAAGCTCTCACTGATGGAAGGAGGTTTTGGCTCAGAATCTCACGATACATGGCCCCATTCATTCTGTCCTTAACACGGATCAGTCGTCCTGTCCCCTTAGCAGAAAAACAGCCCCAAAGCATGATGTTCCCACCCTCATGCTTCACAGTAGGTATGGTGTTCTTGGGATGCAACTCAGTATTCTTCTTCCTCCAAACACGACGAGTTGAGTTTATACCAAAAAGTTCTACTTTGGTTTCATCTGACCACATGACATTCTCCCAATCCTCTGCTGTATCATCCATGTGCTCTCTGGCAAACTTCAGACGGGCCTGGACATGCACTGGCTTCAGCAGCGGAACACGTCTGGCACTGCAGGATTTGATTCCCTGCCGTTGTAGTGTGTTACTGATGGTGACCTTTGTTACTGTGGTTCCAGCTCTCTGCAGGTCATTCACCAGGTCCCCCCGTGTGGTTCTGGGATTCTTGCTCACCGTTCTCATGATCATTTTGACCCCACAGGATGAGATCTTGCGTGGAGCCCCAGATCGAGGGAGATCATCAGTGTCCTTGTATGTCTTCTATTTTCTGATAATTGCTCCCACAGTTGATTTTTTTCACACCAAGCTGCTTGCCTAATGTAGATTCACTCTTCCCAGTCTGGTGCAGGTCTACAATTCTTTTCCTGGTGTCCTTCAAAAGCTCTTTGGTCTTGGCCATAGTGGAGTTTGGAGTCTGACTGTTTGAGGCTGTGGACAGGTGTCTTTTATACAGATAATGAGTTCAAACAGGTGCCATTAATACAGGCAATGAGTGGAGGACAGAAATGCTTCTTAAAGAAGACGTTACAGGTCTGTGAGAGCCAGAGATTTTCCTTGTTTGAAGTGACCAAATACTTATTTTCCACCCTGATTTACAAATAAATTCTTTAAAAATCCTGCCATGTGAATTCATGGATTTTTTTTTCACATTCTGTCTCTCACAGTTGAAGTGTACCTATGATGTAAATTACTGACCTCTGTCATCATTTTAAGTGGGAGAACTTGCACAATCGGTGGCTGACTAAATACTTTTTTGCCCCACTGTATGTGTGGTCACTGGTCAGTGGACCAACATGCAGTGGTTCTGCTGTACTTCTCTCTGCGGGATCCTTCCTCCTCCTTGGTTCAGGGCGATGAACAAACAGCATCAGCCCTGAGTCTCACCTTGCCTTGCCTAGTCTTAGTAAACTGTCCCTCCTCAAAATGTGCCTATAGAGTGGTGTATTAGTTTATTTCCTGCCACATTTAACAGTTTAATTGCAGCCTTGTGCAGTTGAGAGCAGAACATGTAGAGCCTTGATACAAAACATCTGAGAGTGCACGTTAAACTCACTGCACACAGCTTTTTGTTATTGTGATCTCTGGTCATGGTGAGGTTGCTCCTGCTGACTTGAGCAGGGGCGGATTTAGCAATTTGGGGGCCCAAGGCGAACACAGACATGGGGCCCCTTACACTAAATTTTCGACAATCTTACCTTTAACTGGATTTGCGAAACTCTCCCTTCTTCTGACACGAGTTATTTTCCCTTATTAGTCCTCCTCTTTTTTCCTGTATTTCCCTCCCTTTGAGTGCCTTTAATATTTGCTCTGCTTTCTTTTTTCTGTCAGTGCTCCTGTGCTTTAGCCTTAGTTATTTTTTTTCTATTTTCCATTTTGGTCTGTTTTCCTCCCTTTAAACATTTTCCATCGTCTTTCCTTTCGGCTTCCTTTTGATGTTTACATCGAAAAACAACGTCACTTTCAGAAGTGAAGATAATAGCTTTTGTGATGTAAGCAGCTTCTTTCTCTTATTGGAGCCACTAGGATAACTTCATGTCATGCTTAATGTTTTGACTATCTCTTTGAGTTTGTTACGAACGCTCCCGCCTCTCTTCTCATTATTATTTGTGGTCTTATGGCACTTGGCAAACAACAATTTGGTGCATTACTGCCACCAACTGGATTGGAGTGGAATGACTACCAATCACTTCCTGTTTGTGCATCGCAGTCTTAATAACCCTGTTATGACCATAATTATAACAGGGCCGCCTGGTATTTTTTTTTTAATCTTATGGCTGTAAAATTGTAATAAAAAGTGCAAAGTGTGTGTAACTCTTCTCCTTTTTTCAGAACAACCTCAGCTTTCAGTGTATGGTTTGTATTTCCAAACCACTTCAACATTTCACGAAAAGAAACGTGAAGCCGCTTCTCCTCCAGCTTCACTGGCTGCCAGTCAACTTTAGGATTCATTTCAAGATCCTGGTTCTGGTCTATAGGGCCTTACATGGACAGGCACCATCTTACATTGGTGATCTTCTTAGTCCCTACACCCCCAGCAGGTCCCTGAGGTCCAGTGATCAAAGCCTACTGGTTGTGCAGCACCAGGCTAAAGGTCAAAGGTGACAGATCATCTGCTGCTGTGGCCCCCAGACTCTGGACCTCTCTCCCCCTGAGCCTGAGATCAGTGGTCTCAGTGGTCTCCTTTAAAAAGCAGCTGAAGACTCACTTGTTCAAGCTGGCTTTTGGATGACCTTCTTCACCTCTCTCTCTTTATTCTGCTCTCCCCACCTATTCCACCTTCCTCAGGATCCACTGGTTTCCCTCTTTCCTGTTCACTCTCTCTTTCTTAACATTTTTTCTTTTAAATCCCAATTGCCTATTTTTGCTCATTTTAAATATATTTTTAAACATTTTCTAAAAGCTTTTTTATATTTATATTTTTGTTTTTGTGAAGCGCCTCATGATTTTTATCTTGACAGGCGCTATAGAAATGATATTTTCTTCTTCTTCTTCTTCTTCTATTTAGAATGTATTTCTATTAAAGCCTTTAAAGGAGCATGGGGCAGGAATTGTCCAAAAACAAAAAGTTCACGTTCATTCTTGAGAAGCTTATGGGTGATGAAGCATTTTAAACTAAAAAGAATGATGAAACCAGTTTATCATTCCATTTTGTTAATCACGCTGTGTGCTGCAAAATGCAAAACATTCCTGATCCGAATTTCCCGCGCTGTTTTACGGATATGACGTTAATTGACGCTTCAAGCGCGTTCTCGACAAGGTTCAAACCCGGAAAAACATTTGGAAGCTTGCTAGGTGGCGGTAATGCGTCTCACTACTAGCCACGTTAAAACCTCAAACAGAAGAGGAAGAACCCTGGAAATGGATTCTACAACTAGCAAACGACCAAGCGCAACTCAAAGCCCACTAAAGAGTGGCACAAAGAAGAAGGTTTTATCAGCGGCATCTCGAGAGTCAAAAAGAAAATATGATAAAAGTCGGTCAGGGACCCGAATATCTATTGGTTACGCTCTGGAAGAATGGAGGCTGCTTCAACTGGATTTGGGCCTGAAAAAGGATGCGGACATGGCACATTTTCTAGTGAGCAGGTAAGTGTTGGTCTCCTTATTTCTGCTGTAGGTTTCAGTTAGGGTTGTCACGGTAACCGGTATAGCGGTAAACCCCGGTAAAAAAGTTGACAATAAAAATAACCGTCCAGTTTTTAAAAAACTATATTATCTCGGTGGGTTTACCGTGGCCGCGGTTTCGGCGCGATGACCCTTACCAGCCACCGTCGCTTCAGCTGAAGTTCCCGCGGCGCGCACACGCACTTTTTAGTTTGCAACGGCACCAAAACTTTGAAGCTGAAATAACGGCCGAAGGAGGAGACGGCAGCGCCCAGGACATCCATCAGCCCTCAAAGAAGACTAAATCGGAAGTATGGGCATATTTGGGATTTCTGAAAAACGCTGAGGGACAGTTAATAGAAGACGGCTATCCCGTTTGCAGAACGTGCAGGAAACAAGTGTCTGCAAAAGGCAGCAACACTTCGAATCTAATGGCACATCTGCGTGACCATCACCCACGTCTCTACAGCCAGTGCAAGGTAAGTTAGCATTAGCATTTTAGCTTAAATGCATGACGCGAGGACTTTTGGTTGAGGGAGAATGCAACGAGTCACTATATACTGCAGCCGCAGCGCCCTCTGCCAGCATTTAAACCGTGTCACGGACACCCTGTTGCTGGATGAAGCATCTTATTTGTTGATGATGAAGAGAAATATACAATTAGTTCCTTGTCATTGATTTGTTTACTTATTCAATGCCATTTATACTTGAACATTTGGATTTGATTACATAGTGTAGTAGTTATTTTAGTCATTTGTTTAAAGTGGCTATTTATTTTAAATACATATTTTTTAAGGTTGACTTGTACAGTGCTCAAGTCAAGTGTGGACTGGAGTTTTAGATTTTCATTTTGATAATGAAGAAAACAAGTATATGAGAAAACAAGTGGTGTTTCTTTGATTTGTTTACATATTGTTTATGTTTTGAATGTTTGGATTTGTATAATTTAAACCTGCACTGACTACTGTAACATGTTCCAGAAAAAGAAGCTATTTGTTCCTTTACTTGTGAAAAGTTGCACTTTTGCTAAGGCTTTGTGTTATTTTAGGTTTAATAAACACTGTTAAACATTTTCAAAACTATTTCAGTTTGTGTAGAACAGGACTATCAATGCTTTCTGAACATATGCAACACCGTTTAAAAAATACCGCGATAATACCGAAAACCGTGATAATTTTGGTCACAATAACCGTGAGGTTAAATTTTCATACCGTGACAACCCTAGTTTCAGTAACGAGTAGGTAAACATATCAGAGCTGTATCTGCACAATTTGAGAAAATAAAATAAAACTTATGGATTTAGATAATGCTGATTTAGGTAATCTAACAAATCTTTGTGCAGATGAACAAGAAACTTATCTAAGCTAACGGTGTTTAGCATATTGCTTCCTGATCAGTTTGAAAAAGCTAAAAGCAACTAAGGTGTAATCAGATCACTTCTACGTTTTGTGGACGACACGCCGCATGTGTTTGGAGATAAATGGATGCTCCGTTTATTCTGACGAGAAAAGTAAACAGAGCTTGATTTGATTATACCGCTCAGCCGGAGAGAGCTAGCGTGCGTTAGCATGTTAGCTGCGATCACGCTTCAGTTTGTAGAAGAGAACGGACATTTTCCAAACCAAAGATGAGTCTTTAGAATTATGTCATATTTGTTCTACAGTCCAACCTCTAAGCAGGACTGTTACTTCAGTAGATAATGTTATTCGTGGGGTTTGTGTAACAGAACCCCATCTGAATATATTTTCCTAGCGCTATTGCTGTGCTACATAAGAATAAATAATAAGTCAGCCATAACAACACGTTTGACTAAAAGTAAAGTTGTGCAGAAGTTTGTATTTATTTTTCTAAATTTGTCCAGTTGAATGTAGGTCAGAATAAAATTGGTTTGTGAAAATGATAAATAATTTTTTTATGACTGACCTGCATTTTCATATTACTAGTTGTGCTTAGCCATTATTGATCTATGTAAACAGAAGGTGTAGAGTCTCAACCAACTTGTTGACATTTTTGCTTAAAAATGTGTTTTCCAGCTACCGGAAGAAGCAGGCTCCTGAAACTGCAATTCAGGGAGGTAATGTGCAGTCCACCTCGACACCCAGTAAGTGAACAGCAGCTAAAATGTCGCATCGATTATCTCCAACTGAACCTGTGTCTGAGGGGTTAGTATCTTTTCTGTAAAACAAATATTCACGCTTTTGTGCTATGATATTTCATACATTAAATTACACCTTGCATATCCACACTTGGTTCAGAACTAACATCACACCACCAAACACTTCTGACATTGTCTTTACAGGGAAGATTTTCTAATGGCTGGTGTTGAGGCCTTAGCTGATGACCTAGATTTGGATCCTTTTGAAGAAAGGTAAATATGTTCATGAGAAGTCTTGCCATATACGCAGGAAATTACTGCTCTGCAAAAAAGATAAAAACACAATAGATAAGCAAATATAGGTCATTATATATATATTTATTTATGTTGTGAAGTGTCAATTCACAGCAGATTGTTGTTATTTGCAGAAAGAATAAATGACAGATGTATTAGGCTCCACATTTAGAATCAGTACCATTTCAGGTAAGTTCCAGTATTTATCTTTACGTACAACAAATATTATTGTGTTATCTGTAGTTTCAAATCCACGGATCTAGCTACGGATGCAGTCCAAATTGATGAGGACCAAGCAAACAACTTACTCAACAGTGTGTGAGATGCAATGTCTTCTTATCTAGGGGTGGGCAATATAAACGATATATGGCAGAAATGATATAAAATTGGGTAATGATAGTTTTTGGCTATATCGCAATACGGCGATATTGTGATAACACATGACGTCACTAACCCCCAAATTCCACTACCTCCGCTCCGCTCCGACACGAACGCCGGAGCAAAATCAGTCCCGTTGTAGTCAATCAGAGCAATTCCACTACTGCGGCCGTGCGCCGCCCTCTGTTCCGGCGT